ACACAATAAATCATAGTTAGAAATCTATTATGATCATGATTCGTAAAATAAGGACACAATAGGTAATATACATATTCTAGTTGTAAATAATAATTAAAAAATTTATAACGATGAAATATGACAATGTTTAATGTTGATTGAACAAGTTATCTGGTAATTTTATGTTTATGCTATACTGATATTTCATGCACAGTAACTCATCATACATTGTGAAATATTTGTTTTTTGTCTCCATATTTACAATTACGATGCAATATATTCTAATGTCTTCAAAATTGTAGCAGTAGTCAATGGTGTTTAATGACAAGTTTATGGGATGTAAATGATTTACAGTTAAAATTGAACGCGAAAGTATAATTTTGTAAATGCGTTGAGTTATTGAATATAATTGTATCTTTAAACTTTCGGTATACATTTTTCAAATTTTCGGAATGTTATAACTTTTTGTTTTACAAACGATATATATATAATTTCAATACGCGTATTTAAATATTCAACAAATGCAAAAAGCTCAGAGAAAAAGACTCCTTTATAAGTCATGTAAACAATCAAACTTTTTCGAGAAACGAGCATTCGAATTGATCATATAAAAAAGAAAAATTTGATCAGATCCACGATTTAAGTTATTAGAAAAGTACTCTTTTACATAACAAAAAATACTTCAATGGATGGAACAGTTCCGAATGACATATTATTATATACATAGATGCATATGCGTATCTTTAATCATGAAATTTATTGAACGAATATGCATGATACATTTACCATGTACATCTTCAGAAAGGAATTCGTAATTGCTGTAAATGAATTTCCTCTTATTTCATCAAAACCATTTTCATACAAACCTGGCAAGCAAAATTTTCATATTGGACAATATCATCCCTTATTTGGATAAGTGTATCGAGGTCACAGCAAAATCTGAGAGAAACTTCAATTATTTCCTAATGTCTATGCTGTTTAACTTCGTACTTGTCAAAAATCGAATGCGGGATATGCTTTTTAACCGTTTTTTTTTCACTCGCAGACACGTGCACCGATACAAATGAGCCGGTGTTAAGTTTTACGAATCAGATTTTAATTTCTCTGAGGGAAAGATGAGCCAACCCGGCCTCGGTTGACTATTATTTACAAATTCGTTTACAGATATTTGTTGGAGTAGCGATTGATGGCAGTTACCTAGCTGCAGTCTGTTTAACGTTTGTTTTTTTAATGTATAAAAACCGTAGATTTATTGAGCGCAATTATTTGCACAGTAGCGAGATCATTGCACTATATTCATTTACCACACGAGAATAATTCGTTCGTAGGCTGGTGGTACGTATTCTTTAGTAACAACGTCAGCTGATATCGTGATGTCTCTCTGCGAAGCAGACGTCACAATTCAATCATAATTTATATATTTGTCGACTTTTTCTTTTGTTGTTTCCATGTTGATATCCTTTCTTTTAACTCGTGCACTAAAAAATATTGAAGAGTTATAAATGCAAACGTTTTTTACCTCTAGAATAGAAGATATTCCCTCTGTTCCATGTCATAATATTTTTTACAGCAATATTAACAATATGAATTTCAACATCCTTTCAAAGACAATGTATGCTCAAACAAGTAATTGGGAGCACAGCCATCTATTTATCCAGCTAGTATCGACAATCTATTGTATTAGACAATTAAAAAGTTTTAAAAACTGCGTACAAATATGGGACAGAGGTGGTATTTTAAATTTTTTCTTGAGGGCACATGGTCGTTCTAATGACATGTAGCCAGTCGAATATAAAGTATTTCGGTCACGTTTATTTTTAACCCAATGAAATCCTTTGTACTCACTTGGCATAAGCATATCTTCGCTGAGAGGTTGTCTACTGAAGGGGTCTGTAGAACTATTCAGAAGGTGTCTGATGATCACTGCTTTATCCATAACTATACCAGACGGTAGTTTAACAGGTTCTTCCATGAGAGTATCCATGAGAGGATCTCGAAATTCTTCCGGTGCGTCACCATAGTCCTCGTCCCGAGCACGATTGTCTCTGGCAATTACTGCAGCCCGTTCAGCGAGAGCTATAAATCTTTCGATTTCTGTCGTGGTTTTAATCACCGACCTCTGCAATCTATTCGCTGCATCGGTAAACAACTCTTTACAGAATGAGCGCTGTAATTATAAGTATTTATTGTAGCAGAAAAGGTTCTATCATTTGCTATGGTAAAGAGCGATAAAGTTACCTCGTCGCTAGCCAAAGCAGCTGCAAAGTTGTCGCAGTCGAGATGCAAATATATGTCGACCAATTGACTAAGTAAAGCTCTGGGCTCCCATCCGTATTTCTGTGGATTTCGTACCTTCAGATTTTTACATTTGGGGCCGCACAATTGTTGTAAATTAAAGTTCAACATGGCACATAATCTTCCCACCAATTCCGGACGTAGAAACGGTTCAGTGATGTCCACCGTCAGATAATGAAACATGGCCACAGTTTCTTTGGCTAGAGTAAGATACGACCTTGCTTGTCTCTCGTCCGCCGTTAATTGTCTCATGCGCGAATGTTGCTGTTCGGGCGTCAGAGCCGCCCACGCTTTCTGATCAGACATTAGCTCTTGGATCTCGTGTATACGCTTTAACGATTCTAAACTTTCATCTAGTAAAAACGTGGTGTCGTTCATCAACATGTTAATGAATTTGACGAATTGCTTGCCATTATTGCTCTCGTTGATGATCGATTCCCTGTGCACCGGACTGTCCCACATGGACTTCAAAATTAAACTAATGTGATAACGGATCGAGAATTTGTCGTAGAATTCGGAGCTAGAACCGGTTGTTTCAACGTCAGTATAGAATTTCATGAGGTACGATGCCAATAGCGTTTTCGATACAGGATGAGCCATCACTTGATCGTGCAGCGATTCGGTTCGCCCCTGAGACAATAAATTGTTTTAAGACAATTAGGTCGTTCGAAGTATGTAAACGAGCACCGCATATAGACGAGAATTACCTGAACACTGGGATTTATCACAAACAGCACTTCAATAATTTTTGCTATTAAATATGGATTCCGTATACAATGTGGAGTACATACTACGACAAGTAACCACGTAATGAGCGAATTATCCATGTTATTGGTTATTACGCCAGGACTAAATCTATAAAAGACATCGAATCATAGCAATTGCGTGGAACACAGACCAGCTGCTTATATTACAAAGCGATACTTACTGAAGGGTAAACAATAAAAATTCTGCAATGTCTTCAACGTACCACTCTGGTAGCGCTGTAAACGTTTGTGGAACCTCTTGTGATAGAGGAAGTTCGGGAAGCGGATTTCCCGGTGTGGTTTGCGTCAATAGACTCAACAGAACCTCCGCCACGGAAATATAAAAATGCAAGCACCTTCTCAATAAGACGGGATCGATTAATCCAGCGTCGGTGCACGATTTTGATTTACCCAACTGTTTTAATTGCTCCTTGTATCGTTTGATTAATTCTTTATTACGTCCAGCGAATGGCGTGTCTTTCCATTGCGGCTCGGTTGCCTGTAGGTCATCGAGCATCTTTTGCACATCACGTAGTGTTCTCAACTTCCTTTGATATTTCTGTAAAGCTGGTAACAATGCTATATGATGACAATGTAACGTGAGAAACCAACATTGCGTCGGGAATTTTGGTTCGACCCACTTGTGGGTTCTCTCTAAGTGTTTTAACCATTCGACCACTTCTTGGGACGAAAGCTTCAGCCTTGTATCGTTTTTTATCTCAACGAAACTCGACGGATGAAACGGATACAGAGTATCCACTGTGTCTAATTTAATCTTCACAGAAAGCATTTGCAGGACCGACAACAAGTTTAACATGAAACCGTCTCCGGCAAGGGAGAACTCCTCCGTTTGTATCTGTGCACGCTTCTCATTATGGCGCAATAATGTTGCTAAGTACGTTAGCATATTGTCACGGCAGTTGCTGTTCGCAAGGATCGCGTGGAGCATTTTATGGAGCGACGTCCTGGTGCTTTCCAACTCTTGCTGCAACGTTAAGTTCATAGACTTGTCAACAAATGGATTACCACTGAAAAACTTCTCGGCCACGTTCGGTTGGTCCTCGGCAAACACGGACACTGATAGGAACGGTCCCAAAAAAGATGTTATGGTCAGCTCTCTGCCAGCTGCCTGAGTCATGATGTCCGGTAAGAATTGAACTTGATGCGTGATCAAACGACAGATCGGACGTACATTGCTGGTCGGCCCGCAACGAATTTCTATCAGCTCCTCTAATGCTTCTATCGGTCTTCGGTGTGTGTTACCCACCAAGCTTGCCTGTTGCATGTACATGTACAAGCCTTGCAGCAGCGGAGTAAATATTTTATTGAACACTACAGGATTTGTGTGTGTCCTTGCTACTAGCTCATGTAAATAACCTCGCGGTAGACTTTGTGATAGCACTGGATACAAAAGGAGTGTCATGGACAAAGGATGCGACGTCGAAGACTGAGGAATGCCCACTAGGCCTTGTAGCACCAAAGTGGAGTACTGAACACATTGTGCTCTCAAAACAGCTAATACATCGGAGAGTGGCGGGATACTGGATTTCTGTTTGAAACGAAAATAACGTTACTTTATCGTGGATTGCTTTATCCTGGCTAAGTGATTCCATCATAAAAAAGTATATTGTACCTTTGGGTGATTTCGTTCCTCGACAGCAACTCTTGAATAACAATCTAATAAATAAGTGAGACTCTTAGGCTGAGACGATTTACAACAAATATCACAACGACAAAGTGTCCCGACTGGGCTTAATAAAGGACTCGTTTGACTATTAGGACTATCTTCCCTATCCGATGAGGTTTCCACATTGATTTCTTTTAAGGGATCCTCTCCTCGTGTAAACATACACAAAACCTCCATTAATGCCTGACTGATGATCTCTGTAGCATCAACAACTTTCTGTATGGATGTTTGTGATGTTGTTTGTGGAAGGAATATAGTGCCCTCTGCTGGCTCCTTCCATGATATGCATAATACCCGCGAGACCACAGAATGTATTTGCTCTATGGTTACCTCTGTGCTGGAACTGGTGGTCTAAATAACAAGTCAATGTCATAGTAATTGTAATTGTAAGCGAGTCTCTGTTTCCACACTAAAGTACAATGCTTACACGTGATCTTGATTTTGTGTCTCTTCTGTCAGATTCTTCCACCTCCATATTCTCAATACCAGAATCCACATCCACTCCAGACACGCATTGTTTGTAAAAATTGTCTTCTACTTCCATTGCTACTTCTGGATTTTGAAACTGTTGTCGATTCGAAGGAGATATCATCTGTCCTGTAAATGCCTTTGATGGACCCGGGGTACTTGGGGAAACTGGACCAGTATTGTGATTAGATGTAGTGGCCGAGCTTATGTTATCCAAGCCTGCTAACCGGGCCATTCTCCTTCTCCTCATCTATAATCAAAGTATAGATGATACAACTTGCTCAAGAGGAATGCATTTGTTAATGAAAGAACTGTGTAATTTTTGGTACAATTCTATAATATTCGATATAATAAATATTATATAATGGATCCACTAGCAACATGAGTAACAAAATGAAAGGATTAGACTATACAATTGGAACAAAGCTCAACTATATTTGTAACAAAGACAAAGGCCACAAAGAATGACATAATAGCAGCAGGGTAATTTGTAACATTGAAAAGAAATTATTTTAAAAGTTACATCTACTGTATGTTATACGTGATATACCTCTGCACGATAGAAAATTATTAAACAAAAAATACTGCTGCAACCAAGGAGATGATGCATGCTCCAGTTAATAACAAAGAAAGAGAATACCTCCTGCTATTTGAAGCTAACATTGCAAATGAAAAATCGGCAATAATTTGTTACCGTTACATAATTACTTTAAGAACGGAGCATCGATAAAACGACTGTTAATTTACGGTTGAAGTCGTTACCCGTCAAACGAAATGTTTCTTTTTTTCCTCTTTTATTTTTCATTGTGTTGTCGTTCTCTTGACCGCGTTTTCGCGAATGGTTTTATCGCGTGGGTTACGACAACGACGGTGCGAAAGGGGGGACCAAAATCGAGGAACTGACTCGAACGACAACAACAAAACTCATTATCGAACAATGATTGAGGACGGTGTTACTTGGTACTCACTTCCTCCTGGCTCAACTCGCTCATGGCGATCTCTTGTTTTCCTTTTCAAACCGTCTAACCTCCGACACTGTCCGTAAATCGTGTCCTTTCACCGTGCCGCGGAAGTCCAGTGGAAAAAAAAGGAAAAAAACGGTGCTCGCCGTTTTCCGGAGAATACTGGACGAGATATGTCAAAAATTTGGACAGTCACTCCACATCTGTTTGCGTTTGGACGTGAAAGTAGCGATTCCACGCTGTTCTACGGACAATCGCTGCCAGGCTGCGTCGATTCTTCAAAACAGCTGAGCAACTGGAGCCGGAACGCTCCCTCGCATCAATGACGATAACTACACCATGATCAACTTACACGTGTGTCTAATGGTTGCATTCGATCAGGCGTCATACATACGATGAACGCTCTTTAACATCTCTTGGCTCGAGATACGCTCGAGAATAGGGGAAGCTGTTTCGTCCTCGCTGATCTTCACTTTGATTGGCCGGCACTTGTCACTGTAACTTGCAGCAGTGCCGTCTCACGGTCGGACGCAAAGAAATAATTGTTAGAGAAAAGGAAAGAATACGACATGGACATGATATGAACGCCTGTAAGGCGATATGTACAGCCAAACAGTGGAATAAGATTCCGTGTGGACACTGGTCATGAGAAATTGTTCGATTTCGGTTCTTTCTTACCCGCTGGTTGATTTCTCTCTTTCTCAAAGGTCTGCGCACTGATGCATGCGCAGTAGGATAGTGGGGATAGAAAACGTGACCGGAAAAGATCGTCAATGATTGGACGTACTGGAGACAATGCTGTATTGTGTACTGTACGAAAAATCGAATATCGTGCAACTAAGATACAGGCAGATACAAGTGCTCTCTCACAGTAGAAATTATGCTGTTCATTATTTTGTGACCGGGTAACTAGCGAAACAACATTTTCAAATGTTGCAGCTCGCAATCGTTACTGTTTTGTAATCAAAAGTGGAACACGCGATTTTGCAAATCATTTGCATAATTACATAATTGAATACCACCATATCGATGCACACAATTTAATCAAATAGCACGAGTTGCAAAACGCTTCCTTGTACTTTCAGCGTGCATGCTTTCGACTCATACATTGAGATGTGTTACGTTATCGTTTTATGTTGTTGATGATGATGAAACACGTAGTGCGAAATGTTCGAGTGATAGGTTAAGGTTGTAGAGAATTTTTTTCTGTTATCAATGTAGGTAAGATATACAATCTACCTTTATCAGGGTCAGTGATTCTGTTTTGATTGGTAGATAGAAGACCTTACAAATAGGATTGGATGATGACAATGGATTCCAAGGGCAGTCCATTGGCTTCATCCAATCCCATCACTTGCTAGCACATTCCGGCCCCCTCTGCGCAGATACTCGGATGCCGATATCCCCTCGGAACAGATACCGAGTAGAATGCCTGACACCATTTTGTACATAATAATTCTTCTATCTAATTGGAAAGTTACTCACAATTGAGTTTCGCGAGAAGTACAATTTCGCTATTAATAACCGAGAATGAACGCAGGCGAAATCGTTGTTTTCTCAGACCTAGGTAAACTCAATCTTTTAATATTTTTTACATTGATTATCATTAACAGTTGTTTATTTTGATAACGTGTGCTTAATCATTCATTTTGAAGCATCTCATAAATCGATTTCGTAGCATAACAGCATAATATTTCACCAAAATATGTATCCAACATGTACAGATAAGTTTCCAAACATCTTTTTTTTTCATTTCATCAGTAAGTATACGTCGGTATAAATTTGGTAAACATTACATACATTCCAGAGCCAGATATTCAATCTCTAATCGAAAAGAGCGTGGCGGTTCGTGAACATTCTTACTCACCGTATAGTAAAATAAGAATTGGAGCTGCTATCTTATGCTGCAATGGAACCATTTCTATAGGATGTAACATTGAGAATGCATCCTACCCTGTTGGAACGTGTGCTGAAAGAGTAGCAATTGGGAATGCAGTGTCACAGGGAAACAGGGATTTCAAAGCATTGGCTGTAGTAGCTGATAAGATAGACAATAATTTTGTCACTCCGTGTGGTTTCTGTAGGCAAGCTATTTCAGAATTTGGTGACATACCAGTTTATATTTCTACTCCTGATATGAAAAATGCATTCAAAGTTACAGTAAGCAATTTATTGCCTTACGCCTTTAAGCTTGATAATGCAAAAAACTAAATACTAAATAATTGCTGAAACAATTTTTATATACTTTACCTTAATTTATATACTTTGTATAGTATGTATATACTACCTTAACTTGTGCGAGGAGATAGTTATTTTCAGTGTATTAGAATCATGTCCTAATCTTAGCATTACCTTGTATAAATTTATCTCTAACGGGATTATATGTATAATTTGAACGATCGAAATGTACAGGTATATGTACAAGTTTTGTGGGCTACTAAAGCAATCTTGAAGAAACCGTGTTGTAACTATACTGTATCTTATTCTTTAGAGTAGCTTTTTTAATGTTTACATTGAAAAAACTGTATTTTATAGCAGTAGTCGATTATCATGCGGTTTCTAAGATGCGCCATTTTCTAATATACATTATACTTAGAAAGCATGAGTAACATGAATAGTATGTACAATCGATGTAATAATATAATGTGCATATATGTGGTTTGAAGATAAAACAACAAAAGTCACGTGTCTTTTATACAAGCGTGTCATATACATTCAGCTTTTACATTAAACAAGCTTATATTAAAAAGAAAAAAAATTGTTTCAACAAACTTTTCCTTTAAAAACGCATATACTGCCTTCTATACCTCGATCGAGGTGTACATGAAATTTTTGGAAAATGTGACTTATGTCTTTGTCTTCGAACACGTATATACGTGTACATAGTGTCCGAACATTATGATTTCGATCGTGAGTATTTCTTAACAATAAAAATGCAAATACAGGAACGTTACTGCATATAGTACACATCCAATATCTTTATGGATACTTATGTTACATTTACCAAAATGGACACCTGCAATGAGACATAATTAACATGAAACAATTATACAAATTGGAACACTTCGATTTTTTAGGATGGATAAAAACAATTCAATTACCATCCGATATAACACTGGCATAAATTCTCATTGTTGGTAGCCTGTTGAATCAAAAGATCAACTTGTCGTTGGATGTTCAATGTTTCTTCATGGGAGAAGTCACGTCCTGTTAATTTGTCCCTGACTCTAGTTATGATAGCAAGAGCTTTTTTATTCAGCGCTTCCGGTTGATTGGTGTCACCTATTCGAATGTATTCGTCATTTAGATTTGTTTATAGAAAGCAATCTCATATAGTAACGAACTTACCTCCATTCTCAATACTACACGGCACTCCTTTCTTTGGTAATGTGGCGGTAAGGGAGTCCAACGTGTCACCGTGTTCTTGATTGCTGCTGGCACTCATCCCTTGTGCGTCGGATCGTTTGCTCTTTGGCGTCGCGTTGTCCATTAATCTCCAATTCAGAAGAGGATCATAGACAAAAGCCTCCAATACCGCCATCAAACTATCTTTGTTGCGATGCAACACCGACATCACCGATTCGCACGTTCTTCTGTATGTGCCCTCAATCCCAGTGACTTCCATAGCGTTGATCAACATACGTGTCAACCTGAACGGTATCTTCTCCGGGAATTTCTCGCGTGTCATAGCGACCTCAAAGCAATCTCCAAAGTCGATGTGCAATATCTTTCCGCTGAGACGATCCAACATCAGATTCGATGGATGCCGATCTCCTAAACCAAGAATGTAGCCCACCATTGACATCACAGCGAGGGACCTGGTGTAGTTTGTCCTACGATCGAACCATACTTCGCTTGATGGTGATTTCAACCAAACTAATCGCGACAAATCGTCGCCGTGAGTATGCTCCAGTGCATGTTCGAACACTTCAACCTTCTGCATGAGCATAAGGTGATCGTAGCCTGGAGCCATCTGGAAATCAGATCGTTCATTAGAGTCCTTCAAAACATAAATATTAATTTAGGTACTTACCCGTAACATTATTTTGTGCTCTATGTTAAGTAATATCTTCTTCTTTTCCCTATAGTCCCTGATCAGCGTGTGCAACGTATCACAATGCGGTACCCATCCGATAAGTCCACTGTTCGTTGATAACGGAATTACGGCATACCTCTGAAAGTGAAAGAAAACAGTTATCTGGAACTATAAATTCTGTTCAGCTTCGCTTACCTGGATAGTGAGGTTTCTTCTAAATGTGTCGGGATCGTGTAACAGAAGGGTATTGACTAGACCAAACAATTGCATAACACGTTCATCCTGTCTAAGGTCCTCGTGTCCTTTCAGTAGGAACATATAATCTTTACCGTTACTTCCTACAAAATTGAAAAACCATGGATTAGCGTTTTCACATTGAATAGATTGAACACACAAAGGGCTAGGTATTTACCTTTTATACATAACTTTCGTGGTCGTTGTTTACTTGTTATCACTTGCATAGAACTATGTATGCTCGCTATTCTAACTACTGGTTGCCCAGGACTATAACTTCCAGGTACAGCTAGCTCCAAGTCTCTGCAAAGAAGCAGCTTTGGACTAACATACTGAAGCTCCAGACTAGTTAATGTTGGCAACTGCCTAGATATTCTTCTGAAAACATGATAATACAAATCCCAAGCTTGATTTAAATCCCGAACATTACGAGACGCTTTGTATTTCTGACACCACTCCTGCGCTTCCATTAGATCTCTACCATAAGCTTGATTGAACGACGTTTCTTTCAGAGTTTGCGGTCCCCTTTCCAGCATCGCGTGCAAGGGATCCAATATATCGAACATTCCTCTAACGTTTCTTTCCCCAAAGTATAGTCTACTAGCTTCTTCTAAGCCTTCGTGCCACAACTCATGCCAAAGGATTGCTACCCTGATCAGTTCGTCGCTGGCCATCATCGCCTGTTGCACCAAAGTCGGACTGTGTTCGCACATACTCCTTAAGATCCTATTCGCAGCGGTTTTTCGAGCCTGGCTAGCACTCTTCGAAGCCACTGTCAATGGATAAATCAGTGCTTGAGGATGTGCTTTCCCAATATCTATCAGAAGATGATGTATACAACGACCGACCAAAGCTCTTGGTGTATCTATTCTTGCTATTAGCTGAGGAATTACTTGCAACCAAGTGTTGATCTCAATCAATCTGATTCCTTCTACAATAGCTTCATACACCTCTGGCCACTGACCATAGTCGAACCATAATGTCAGCAACCGAAGAGTATCTTGTAATGAGTTGCCATGAGAGAGGTTGATCGATCTGAAAAATCCTTCTACAGCTGGTACAGTGAATTTCGATATGTACTGCGAGCTAGAGAGATTGTTTCGTGTCCCATTTCCAGGGGCTGCCTCTGTATTGGATTCTCCTTGCTGATGTTTGTAGAATAAGACAGTCTCGAAGTTGGTATAAGCAAACGCGTGCCAAGCTTTGTACCAGGTTGGGTCGTGTTCCGTAGCCGCGGCATAGTAAGATAGTACGGCTGGTATGGAGTGTTCGTTTATACCTTGCAGCGCTTCCAACCACTCGCCCAGTTTTAGGTAACATCTGGCCAGCAGCCTTTTTCTAGCTTCTTGTTGTTTCTCGTCCTCTTGATTCGTTACGGACACTGTTGTCGGCTGCCGAGACGTCTGCACGAACTTCTGAAGCTGACCGTATGCTTCCTCCCTTTTATTGGCAACCCACATGTGCTTGCAGTATGCGAATGTCACCTGGGGATGAGTCGTTGGCAACGGCTGGTCAGGAGTTAGCGACGGATCCACACCAAGCAACATCACCAAAGTTTTGTGGCACAACATCAAGCTCCCGCTCTTTCTGCAAAGACTAGCGTACTTCAGCCAGGTGTACATGTCGTCCTGTGGCGAAATCACCAACGTATGCACCTGGATTATCTTTTGCCAGTCCTCTACTATTCGTTGCCCACCTTGAAGCCTTTCCCACCACATGGACTTGATGGTCGATCTTCTTTCTGGAACTAGTTTGAATTGTATCACTTCTTCCAATTCCGCCAACTTTTGAACCTCCACCATGGCGTTGTAAGCTCGCTGATAGCTCTCGCCTGCCATAGCTGTCAATTCTGTATCCAACAGATCTCTGGCGCTGTCGATAAGCTGATGAGCAACATTGTATTGTTCATCGTGAATCGCTAAGACAGCCCTATAGAACGCACCATCCTGAGTGTCTTTTGGTATCAAAGAAACATATTTCTCCATGCTCTCCCACTGGCTCAGGCCCCATGCCGCAGCCGCCGCCATTCTAGACATTCTCTGTTTAGTCTCGTCACTCTGGTTCGACCAGTATTTGGTGGCAACGTCGTGTAATTGTCCCCATTCACCCAGAGCCTCTAAACAACGCATCTCGCCTAAAGTAGATTCAACGTCTGTAGGATCTCCCTCCAATCTTTCTCTATACAACTGCAACGCTTTGTCCCAATTATGCAGTTTCTCGTACCATCGCACCTGTACTTTCAGGTCTTGTTGATTGTTTTGGTTCATCACGTACTCCAGAAGACCTTCGGCAGCCTCCTTCTGCTGCAACTTGTTATTGATGGAAATCAATGACTCGAACACATTGCTGTTCCTGCTCTTGTGAAATTCGTCCTCCTTGTAATGCAGAGCCTTTGCATAAGCTCTACAGTGCATCGCTCGTTCCCCTAAAATTTTGTTGTCCAATGGTAGCGGCCCTTTATCACAATGCTCCATGAACTCGGCCAGATTCAGAATCGTTTGCGTGATTTCCGGTAAGTCTGGAACCATCAACGCTTGCTGTAACGTTTGTATCAACTCAGCTCTGTAAGTTTCGTCCAATTCGGTCCAACAGGAAACGAACGCCGCATTGAATAAGTCCCTGGGTAGCTGAGAATAAGTTTGCGCTAGAGCCCAACAGGATCTAAGCGCTGGCGATGGCGATTCTTTGAGTAAACCGATCGACAGGCTTCTCAGCCACTCTAGCCAATCATCCTTCGAAACTCTTCTCGTCGCTGTCCAAGCCTTTTGAAGATTCGAGGCGGTCACGTGCAATCTCTTTATGGTGGTTGTGTCCGAAGAGGTCAGGGACAAGTCCCGATTCTTGTTTCTCGAATGCCGATGCCTCATCAACAGAAAGTCTTCACCGTCGGCAACGGTAGTCTCTGTTAAAATTTTATCGATTAGAACATCGTAACGCGAATTGGCGATCTTGTGTCTGGCCATGATTTTCTGTACCAGAGATATGAAGATCTGATACTTCTTTCCTAATTGGATCACCAGTGCGCACAATGTGTCCATGGCTGTGCTCCGCAGCTCTGGGCATTGGTCGAGAGTCCGCACCAGGGGATGCACGATTCTGGATGCAAAGTCTGTGAAATCCAACGTATCTGCAAGGTGGTCGATGGTTTCGAGAGCTACTTTGTTCACGGTTAACGGACAGTCTGTTGCATGAAACAGTTTCACTATCGGCGGCAACACCAGATGCAAATAGTTGTCCAGATTGTTTCCAAATTTCTGGAGAGCTTGGAGAAGCTTCACCGTAACGGATCTGTCTTTGCTGGTGTCGTGCGTCAGCACTCGTAATATCTGCGGCATCAACTGCGGCAAATAGATCTTGAACTCTGCACCCAACGCGACTGCAATGTGCTCGACCAGAAGAATCAGCGTGCTTTGCAGTGGGCTGTTGACGGTCCAGAATTCTTTGATCAAATTAAAAATATCGTCTAGATAATTTCTAATGTGCTGCTTCACAATGGCTATTAGAATAGCCAATTGTTGAAACAGGTATTCGCGGAAGTTAACGTCAGCCGTGCGAACGACGTTCAGAAAGCTGGGCATTACCTGAGAGATGTACGGCACGCACTTGATCCCCAAACTTTTAAATATAAAAGTCACTGCCTGTACTACCATGGTGTGATGCTGCGACAACGTTGGATCACGAATGATTCTCATAAGCGTAGCTATGGCAATCGCCGGATAGTACTCTTCCAAGGTGGACGAGGACATATTCACTAGCATCTCGCTAGTAGTCAAATCTTGCGTGTTCTCGGTTTCGCTTTTGGTATCGGCCATAGATGTGAGTGTGTCCAGTTGAGAATCTATTTGACCGAGATTCATTTTATGTTTATATGGATCTAAAGCACCTAACAGTCCAAGCACCCTTATAGTTTCTCTCCTAATGATTGGTTGCTGTTCGGTTTTCAAAAAGTTTATCAGCACATCCAATAACGAAGGATATTGCATATACGGTTTTACAACGTGTCCTGTACTCCCGACCAACTGACCTAGTACCCATAAGGCCACCCCTCTCTTTTCCGGGGAGCTGGCATCTACCAACATTTCAAGCAGTATTGAGAGAAGTTCTGGCATCCACTGTTGCATCTCAGCACCGTTGACCTCTGCTAAATCACCAATAGCACGTAGTACAGCTAAAATTACTCCGGGATTCGATTCGGGTTCTTTTAACTTAGGAACAAGAACCTTCAAAATAGGTTCCATGTACGGTCTTATGAGTCTTGGTGCACTGACAACCAAATGATCCAGCATGCGAGCAGCCTGCTCCTTGTTACGACCCATGCCAGAATGCTCTAACTCTGTTAGAAACTGTATAAGTGTCTTACGCAAAGAAGGCATCACGTAAGCGGGATTCATAGTGCTCAGTCTCCCGATCGTGCGGATAGCCAATTCTCTAATTTCAAACATTTCGTCATTCATGGCGATGAATAACGCAGACAGATTTTCCGCTTGCGCCAAGTGAATGTCGAAGGAATCGTCAAGGGAAGCCAAAACCCACAATCTCACATCAGGATCTGTGTCTGTTATACCTACAACCAACAATTTTCCAAGAACTGTGGAGACGGTATTAGTTACCGTGGGGCCAGGTTGGTTCAGTGCCAACCTTAATAACCTGGAACATGTTCTCACAGCTTCCAGTCGAACCTCTGCTTGCTCAAAGGTAAGGAAATGATCCGCGCATCGCCGTACGAATTGTAGAAGTGGATTACCATCGAAGTTGAATGTTCCAAGTGTTTTCAATGCTAGTACCGTCGATGGAATATCCACCTCTGTCGGCGCTGCGGATATCGGACTAGTTGTAGTCCATGGTGCACCAGGATGCCTCAACGGTTTCTGCATCAAAACCTGAGACAGCATTCTCAAAAGTCCTTGCGATATGTCAGGTTTCAATGATGGTACGCTATGAGCTAATTCTCTAAGGGAAGTTGTGAGAATTGGACTTAAGCCAGTCGTTAACATGGATTCAAGTAAGTCCCTCACATCCGCAGCTATCACCTGTTTTACGGCGTGTCCAAGCAAAGTTATGCATACAAAGACTGCAGGTTCCAAGGATATACTACGTTTCTTGGTAGACGTATCCTTAGATGGCAATAAGTTCTTGATTACCTCCATAATTTTCGAAAGATAAGGATTTATTGCATCTTCTACTGCAACCGCTATAAATCCGATTGTGGTGAATGCAGCATACCTATCCTTTTCTCTGCTACGCAGTGTTAACAGCAAGTATGCCAGTGATTCTCTTAAATGATCCTGTGTAAACTTCTCCTTATTGAACGCGGCAAGCCTTGGCAGCAACATCATTAAAGCATGTTGAATGTGTAGATTTCTAGACATTCTTTGATTCATTACATCGTTATAAATATCGTCTAGCCTCTCTTGCATCAAACAACGACAAACCGCCGATTCATGAGCCGGATACAACGTTTGTTGGGAATTCGACGAATTTTGGGAACAACTCGACCATTTTGATACTATGGTTGTCTTCAAGCGCGGCATCAGCGACAATATATCGTTTTCATTCTGTTGAGTGGAGCAGTTCAATCTTTCCATTAAAGCTTCGTAATTTCTTTCCCATTGGACGTTACTGCATCTAAGTAATTCATTTAATATTAATAATGAACTATGTATTCTGTCATCCCTGTTTACCCCTCTTTCTCTGGTATATAATTCCTCGAATCCTACAACTATCTCATCATAGCACTGTTTATACCATTGAGATTTGTGCATCTGTTTTGCGGTTTCCCTCTGCGCAGTAACAACCAACGCAGCGCGCAACGCCTCTACAGCACCTTCCCTTATCACAGGTTTTGGATCGCGTACAGCGTTAAATATAAGTTCAAAAAAAGGAGTCACTTGTTGAAAAAAATACGTCGGCATAGAAACAGCAAGTTCTCTTAAAACAAGAGCAGCGGCGTGTCTTTTGCCTTCGTGTCTATCTCCACCCAGCCATTCAAAGGCACGTTTGACTTCAAATTCTACGTATTCTGCTGTATAAGTACCTGAAACTAACGCCAACTTTCCAACAGTTTTAGCAGCCAGTTCCATAACACCCACATCATTGGAAGGTAATAAATTTCTTAAGTAGTTTGCAAACCTTATGGTTCGCGTGTTGATGTTTCCTACATCCGCGCCAATAAGACAAACTATGGCTAATATACCACCCTTTTTCTCATTTACATCGGATCCAGATACCATTTCGAATATATGATGGTTGAATTCGTCCATAAATGCTGTAATTTCTTCCTGCGATGCCTCCCGCAATTCCGTTTTAACATAGAGACACAGATCTCTGGCTGCTTTATTACGTGCCTCTTCATTTCTGGATTTAAGTCTTTGGACAAACTGTTGTACAAGTGTACACGACATTCTTCAAATTTTTTCACAGCACGAGCTCTACAACTTTATTGTTATCGATATTCGTATAAGAAAACCTGCGGAAAGTAACATTTTCAAAAGTAAGGTTATACACGACTTGTATCGACATTAAATCGCACATACTTATTTGACAGCAGACAAATTTTCGTTCATCCCGCTCTGGCAACCGAGAACTCTCTGATAAACTACGTATAACATATCTAACAGTTTAAAAGTCGGTATAGCAAATTGTTCCGAAACTTTTGATGAGGTTTTGTCTCGTTTGAAGTTTAACGCAACCTTTAAAAGAGAGAGTAAACAAACGTCTATTTAATTCCAGATCCTATATATAAATCGATTCGGAAATATCTGCAAACTATCTGCAACCTATTTCCACTGGTTAGTTTTTTTTTACTGTGATACTTAATAGTGTATAACTGATACTGTATGCATCAACAAATTATCGGTCGCGATGTTTTTAATTAACATTCCATTTTTTGTATAGAATGCAATGAACAATAACCTGTGGCACTACCTATGACGAAACATTTAAATTATTAATAGTGCCGCTATCTGATTGCTAGATGGCGCAAATACGAGAGCGCGGCAACACTTGAAATATCACATGGTAGAAAACGATGTTTAACAAACATACATCCTTTCATAAATGAAATATTGTTCAAGAAATCAATTTTATTGAGTCATTTATACAATTGAATGTTTTTTACAAACTTAAAAAGTTTATTAACTATAATATGACATTCTTTACACTTTTACGGAGCGCCCTCTTGTCGTTTGCGACGCGAAATATGTATTACTAATGAGAACTAAAAAAAATCCCTATACATATATTTCAAAAGGCAATGACATACCCAAGAGTTGAAATTTGATTAATTATCATAAAACTTATATTAGTGAAAGAATTTTGCTAAAGAGCCATTTTAATAGTGGACAATCAAGGAAGTATTGCAAAAACGATTTCAATGTTTCATATTAGTTACCCGTGAGATTTAAGTTATTTAAATTCAGAAATTTTTTTTTTCTGTTGGCGACCTGTACATATGCGTTCACGATTTAAAATATCAAACTGTTGTGCTTGTGCATAGCAGTTCAGTTCATGGACGTGTTCAAGTCGGTGCGGAGGATTTTTGAGGAATGTTCGTTAGAAAATGAAAATTACGTCGGAAGATGTTTAGATTGGTGATGGTTCTTTACAGAAACGAGAGCGATTAGTGAATATGCAGAGAGATATCTGTGATGGTATGTGGCACGTTAGCGAGAATGGAAAGTGTTTGGAAAATACTAAAGGATAGTGAAAGGAATATATAGTTGTTGTGTGTGCGGTGCATGGCATAGGAATGGTATCTCCGTCCAAAATCCAACATCAAGAGCAGAAGCAGCCACCGAGAGAAAATCAATTCACCAAACAGTCACGTACGTGTAACATATGCGTATTAATGTTTCTCGGCACGCACGGTCGGTGTTCGAGGAATCAAATCTTTCATCGACTATCTCCCCTTTCGTGTGCATAACAACTGGTACATTCACGTAAAACTCTTTCTTTACCCCGTCCTAAGATGTAAATGCATTTGTTCCTTGACATTTACACGATGATCTCATCGTACCGTACAACTGTTAGTCTAAATGATTAAAATGCTACTTTTCTTACTGTGTTGTGTCCTTCTCCAACGGTGTAGCATTTCAATAACTATCGCTAAATCACGGATTTTATTCATCGTAGCGTGCGCGAAGGCAAATATTACAATAGAAACTGCGACAGATTGTATTTGCCGACCATTCGGACATTAACAGAGTTGCATATACAGCATATCTGTTTAATTGATATTCTCGAATATTTTTGATTTTACGTAAACGTACACAGTCTAATTTTTGCATTATACTTATTCTTTTTTTCAGTTTTTAAAACGATTGCTAGCTTAGAAAAGAGAATGTAGATAAAATGCTTTTTCTTGATTTTACTTTATGAAACTGATGCGATAAAATTTATCTGTTAACCTATCGGTACATGTGTATTTAATCGTGTAATAAATTTCTTGTTTATACTTGTTAAAACGTTGAGAAATTTTTGTAATATTTTAGATGTCCGTGTTCGAAAAGATAAGAAACCGTTAGAAGGAAAAACTTTTTACTTGGACATAAAAAACCATGCAACTACAGCCAAAATAGAAGCAAAAATTAAAGATTTGGGTGGAGTAAGTATTTCATTCAGCAGTAAATTATGCTTTCGAAATAATTTTCCATCTCGGCTGCTTTTATTTTCATATCATCGATTCACTGCACACAATGAACTGCGTAAGTCGAGTGCATGCAACTCTCCGTTGACGACCTACAGGCCCACAGTCCATAGACTCCCTCGCTCCCTCCTCACGTTCCATCTGTTCATCACCCTCTCTCTTTTTCTCATAGTTGTTTGCTTTCTTACACCGTATCCCCTATCCTCCTTCCCGCCACTTTCAATCCGTCATTTGTATATCTTGTTGTCGTTTACACTACGCGCGAATTTCCGATAAACAATTCTCGAAATGAAAATCGAAACGAATTTATCGAAGTTCAAACAAAGCGTGACATAACCAAATTCGTAAGTTAGGAAAATTCAACGACGTCGTGAATTGTCAGTCCCCCTAAAAATATTTCCGACTCAGCTGTTTCGAATTGGATACTATTCGGAAAAAAATATTGCTCACACCTTACTGAGAGAAAAGTTGCTCTATATTTAATACAATTAACGATTAACATTTACAATTGAAATTACGTTTATCCTTTGCATTTAATCGTAAAATTCGCCATTATTAATAGTTTGTATTGCTATTATTAGCTTTTATTGAATTCATAAAAAGATTCTATATTGAAAAGTATATTAAAGAAGGAACTACGGAAAGTTTATAGTGACAGCATAGTCTCTTTGTGAACTAGAGAGAGAGAAAGAGAGAAATAGCAGAGCAATAAATGTCAAAACTTTATGTGACGACCCAATATGTAGTTCTCTGTTGACAAACAATCGGTGAAAAACCGGGTCGTGCTCGCGCCATCTTTAGGATGTACAGAGAAGTAGAACGAAGTGGACCGGATTTGTCATCATTGGTTGTTGTGTTGTTGCGTGGTGGATTGACGTAGGAAAAAAACCGAAAAAATGGATGTGGAAACCGAGCGAAAAGCGCTTTTCACGTATTCGGGGAAAGTCTGTTATTCGATTCGCCGCGATGTTCGCTGTCCTGAAGCGAACAGAAACGCAAAGCGCCGCCTCCAGGCTCGTCTGCCAAGCTGTTAACGGCGAATGGCCATTTTGTGTGTGACAGTTCTCCCCCGCGAGTAACGATCTCGCAGCGCGTCCCAGCGCTCTTTTCCTTTAACTCTTTACTTTCGTTTGACCGCTCGAGAAACATCTCGAGAAACTTCCCCTTCTGGTACCGTTCCACGCGAATCGCATTTCAAAAGGTGTCCGACGTTTACTTTATGATATTCGGTAATTCGTGAACCGATAAACAGTGTCGTCCAAGGAAGTTGTTTTGTGCGATGGTTTGGTGCGTTTCAAGACCGTTTGACAGTAACCGAGTGTAAACTCAGTGACCGCTTTGGGCCCCCGTGGAAATTCGGTTTGAAGTATACTTTCGCGTCGGCATTCCGATCGAAACACCGTTCAATTATTCGTTTCGTTCGATCCCACGTGTTTCGTTATTGTTCTGATTCTCCGCGACGCTGCGTATTATTAGAACGGCGGTGTGCAACAATGCGGCAACCATTGTTGACTGCACGAACGTTTCTATCAGTACGCGCGTAACTTGCGCTTCTGCGAAATCGCTTGATAGGCGCGCTCGATCGCTCTCGAGAAGAACACGAGACCGCTTGACGTCAGCATACCGCGATGTAAACGTGTGCCCGAGCGTCCGTCAACGGGTCAGTTACTATCACCGTGCATCCACACTTTCTGTACATCTTTTTCCATGCAGCTACCGACGATTCCTGTGTAAGTTACCTCCTCGTTATTTTGGACAGCTTTGTTCCCTTGCTCGCGTCTTCTCTTTCCTGTATCCTGTTTTGCTTGTACATTCCAGAATGAAAAGATACCGCATCCTTCATTTACTACATACCTTATAACTTTCTAACATTTCAATTGCCCTTTTTAGGTGATAGAATTATTTTTAGTACAAAACGTGACTCTGGTAGTTAGTGACAGAGTAAACAAGTCGGGTGACATTAAATTTGAGAAATATAAATGGGGTTGTGCCAGCGGAGGCAGCGGGGGACCTCCCTCGCTGAGGAGTGTAGAAACTCCGACTCCCGTGCCAACTCCTCAGACACCATATTTTAGTCCTGATTGTTCTCTTTCTAACTCAACTTCTCTGAGGGGTCAAACTACCCAAAGATCTGTAAGTATTCTGTTAATAGAAAACTTTTACTCTATGTTACATATATTTGTTAACTTTCTATTTTCTTGAATAATTTATTGTAGAAATCGCGAGTGGATGCAATGTTGGAACGTGCTCTGATACAGCCACAACAGTGTTCCGTGGATCCACTTTACAACGCCCAAAATTGGAGAATTCCTATTTGGGCAGTCGATAAACTACAAGCTTGGCTCGATAAAATATATTCCTCTGTCAAAGATACTGATCATTTGAAACGATCGAAGCAATCTTGTCAACAGAGTTCAACTAGGGACTTAAAGGTCAGACATCTGAAGGGATCTTATATCAAATTTGAGGCCTTTCAGAGGTACGTTTTCATGTGAGTATTGTGAAACTACAAGTAACATTTGTATTACAACTTCAATTGTGTCCAGGAATACAAGGCCAGTCTTTCTTGAATTACCTGTGTGGCCAACGTTAAATTTTTCTGGGCAATTAGGCTCTTGTCCTTTCAATACGAAAAGACGAGAAAAGCCAGAGAAATTACGAGCAGACATAAAGGAAAATAGGGAAAGAATTCAACCGATCAAAGAAGAGGAGGTAAGATATTATGCGATACGTATTGCAACTTATAAAATATAATAAACTGTACACGCGATAAAATTTTGAATAATGAACAGGATAAAGAGATGACTCGGCGACCACGAACGACTGGCACTCGTGCTCGCAGAACTGAACAATTAGCTTCTGGTTATTGTGAAATTTGTCGTATCAGTTACCGGGATCTTAGCAAACATGTGCAGAGTGACCAACACCTTAGCTTTGTGCGGAATAATGACAATTTTTTATCTTTGGATACTCTGATCAGCGCAGGAGCCAATGTTGAAGCATTTCTAAAACTGAACAGAACAAAAGATATAGAGTATGTACAACTTCGCATATGTAATTACATTTCTATTTTTTCCACTCTGTCGTGAGATCGATGAATCATGTTACAAGTTTTCTTTTCTTTCTACTTGTTTAACAGAAAAGACTGCAACTTGTTTTCCAATGGAGATCGTAATCTTCATGACATAGTACTGCCAGAAGGGAAAGTAAATAGGAACTCGAAAAGCTTAGGAGATTTCGAAGTCGAAGACATAAAAATGGTGCAGTGCAATGGCGCGCGCAGGAATCTCAATTTAAGATTAAGTTCACCTCACAATTTACGCACCCGCGCGAAACACGAAAGTGGACACTTGCTGAGATCGAAAGGTAGCCCGTGGCACGAGGTTGAGAAAACCGAGAAGTTCTACGATAAATTTGAGGGCTATACCATAAAGAAACGAGCAAAAGGAACAATCTGGATAGAGGAGGATGAACCAGAGGATGATTTGATACGAGAACAGGTGCTGAATCAGTCCAAGCAAAACGAGTTTAAGATCAACACGTTTACAACGGAATTGGAGAAGAAACGCGACAACGAAAAAGACTGTGGCAACGCCTGCAACAAACAAAATGACGCTGATAATCAGAATTTGCACAGAACGATACCATGCAATAATGAACAGAACAACGGTGTAAGTGCAGAGTACCTTAAGGAAGATCGGGATTCTGTTCAGTACAGACATCACGATCAAACGAACGGTAGTGTAAAAACTAATTATAATGAAAATACTTTGAGTGTAAATGAGAACAGTTGTAACAATTCCTACAGACTATCTAGAAGCGAAATCGTCAAAGGGTTGAACGGTAAACTGCCAATCGAGAATGTTGCATCAAGTATAAATGTCGATGCCGATGTTGTGTATAACGGTCACGTTATAAAGGATGACGTGAAAACGATCAAAACGTTCAATGATACAGGCAAGAACGATGCGAAAGTAGAGAAACCGAAATATTTTAAATCGGGCAGACGGGGCGGCAGGGGGTGCAGGGGACGACACAGACTGTCCGTCGAGGAACGTTTAATCGAGGACAATCGTGCGTATTATAAAGTGGAAGTGTTAGGAAGTAAATTGCGCTCGAGTGTGGTATCAAACAATAATTCACAGTGTACAGTGCAGAAGGATGCCGATGACGAGGAGAAGAAGGAAGTGCCATCCAGCGAGAAACCAGTAGTTGTACGATTTAAACGCGTAAGAAAATCCGAGTTATCCTTGCTCAGTGACGAAGCGGAGTCATTTATGTTCGGCGAACCGAGACGGGATGACTCGAGCGAAGCAAGCGAAGACGAACAAAGCAGCGTGTTGCCAAGAGAAACTGAAAGCGAATACAACGACACTGTGAGCTCCGTGTGCCCTAGTTCATCCATAGATTATAGTTTACCCATCAAAACAGAACCCATCGAGGAGGATTCGCAAGACTCGTTGAATCTCGGGCGAGCTAGGAAAAGGAGACGAACGCAAGCTGAAGCACTCATCAAAGACAACGAGGACTACTACAAATTCGAAACACCTGGAAGTAGACTAAGGTATCAAGCACCTTTGACCGGGATCAGGGAGGCGTCATTGGTCGTCGAGGAGACAACAAGACCAGCCAATGAAGAAATCATCGATAAAGTGCAAGCAGATGAGCAAGAAAAAGTATATCCGTCCAAACCTTCGCCAGAAGTGGAGAAAATGCAGTTCTCCTTCGAGGCAGTACCAAAATCTGAGCCGTGGTATCAAACGTACCAGCGACAGGACGAGGGGGCAGAGTTCTGGCATTACTTTAGCGAAGGTGACTCCCAAAAGCCATTTCTTTTACCGTATGAGATTGACAATTTTCACGAGGTCATAACGAAGAATCAGAACAGAAGCGAGAGTAGGAGGAAAGGTCGTGGTCGAAGTGCGGGTTGCGTTGGACGATCGCCGAGGAAAAGTCCCCGGTGTCATGCGTCTACCTTGGCTATCATGTCGACGATCATTAGGAAGCGGGAACAACAGCAACAATTATCTCCAAATTTGTATACGATAGAGGAGTGTCAGTCCGTCGGCTCGCAAACGGGCACTCCGAGGCCGGATCAGAAAATTGAACTGAAGTCTGATTTGGACGAGGATCTGAGGGAGATGGTTAAGACGATCGACGACATGCTGAACGCGAACGATACTATGGAGCTAGAGAACCCATTTGATACTGATACTACGCATATAGAACAAAATCTAGACGAGCCAAGTATTCCTAAAGGGCCACCTCCGAACTTACTCGAATTATTGGAGAATTGTCACGAGCTCGCAAATTGTTTGGAAAACTCCTCATGCGCCAGCTCGGAGTGCGGCGAGGTGAGCATCGAGTCGCCTTCGAAACGAAGAAAAAAACGGAAGAATCGTACCGGTTGGCCCGGCATCAAGTTGAAGAAGAAACTTCAAACGAAAAACTCGGTCGATATCGATTGCGATCGAGTGAACTTGTTGCAGAAAAATGTTGAGCAGAACGAGATCATCTGCCACGTGCAGGATACGACGAACACAATCAATAGATTAGTGGAAGAAGCGAACGTCCGTATATCCACTGTTACTGGCATTTCGCGTGACACCGGTGGGTCGATGTGCCTTGATCATCATCGTGAAGATGACGGATGTTTATGCGAAGCGTATACTACGGATGTTGGTTGCCGGGACGCGCAATATGATGAGCAACACAAGGATGCTGCGAGTATGGAGACCTTCGACAATTCTATTTTGCTTTTAAACACGGAAATCTGTACGGAACCGGTGACACCTGCCAGTGCCGGCGGGTGCACCGAGTCCGAGAGGAACTTTCTGTTAAATAAAGATTATGCATTCAAGAAGGAATTACCGGACGTCGAGGAGATATCGGAAAACGATCCGAGGAACGACGAAAATCACATGTTCGGGAAGGATGTTAATCTGCTCGCGGAACGACGAGTGCTTGTTTCGAAAGCGGCCCTGAAGAAGCGTCAACGTGACAACACATCCGCGGAGACGTGCGGATCGCACGCAGAGCTCGAGAACCACGAGAATCTGTGCAGGAAGGAAACCGAGTCCGGTATGGTGGCCAGGAATCATCATAATGCAAATGGATTGCCGAGAAAACGTAGTCAGCAAAAACTCCATCCCGAGAATTCGGACGCCGAACTCGAGCATCGCAACAATGTGTACAAAAACAGTAAGGTCAGTAAAACGGCCGGTAGGAAACGGATTCATTCGAGAAAGCGGGCGAGGAGAAATAACATGTCTTCCGACACCGTGTACGAAGAAAATGAGAATTGTAAGGAGGAAGCATATCTGAACATTACGTGCAAGAAGCAACAAAGTCTGAGAGGTGTGAAGCGGCGAGCTGAACACGCTGTGTCGTCAGAGGCGACTCAGAACTCTGAAATAGACTGCGCGTTATCGGGCCGCGTCAGTCCAACGATCATGGCGACCTCAGAACTTGAGCAAAGGCGATCAAGTATTGAATACCAACCGGTTGTTCGAATGATGAAGATCGACGATCAAGTAGATATGGACCACAGTATTCTTTCGGTAACGATCGCGAGCAACAGACGGTTAAGAAGTTCCAGTTCGCCGCGGTCGAACGTTCAGCCGCCGAAAAAACGTTTAAAGACCGGTCGTGGTCAATTTGGTCGGTGGTTGAAGAGTAGCTGAAATAATCCTCGACGAAAGAGGTTGTGTTGTATAGTTTAAATTTCGAAACCGGGATACAACAACACACATTTTCCACGGGATCTCGCTGGTTGAAATTTACTCTGTACATTGTGAGTCGTTCAACGTGACGATTTCAAATTACTTTTCAATCATTTTTAGTTAGTAATTTGAAGTTGTCGGGGTAGATGACTTCTCCTGTATGTTCAGCGACTGTACATTATGTATAAAACATTATTTGTGTACGTAGAGAATAGTATTTAACGCTATTGGCACCCATCGATAGGATTTTATTAATATTCTTCATAGTGTCTTTTCTGATACTGGTTCAAACGAGAGCCCCTGTACATTCTTCAAATATATGCAGTCTTTGCGTTCTCGAACGAAGCGTTCGTCGTTCGTATGTATTCACTGTGTTTGTAAAAGACTTGTCATCATTTTGCTTTTGCACGGTACAACGCGCGCGAGGTATCTTACGTGTAAAAAAAAAATGATTTTTTTTTTTGGTCGCAAAAGCAATTCTATGAAATTACGCAAGGCTGCATACAAAGCTTTATCGTAGTGTACTGACCATGTTCTGTTACAAAACGCATCATTGTATGTAACATTAATTATTAAATTCCCTCACGGAGGGCCCACCTAAATATTTTATTTCGAAGAAAAATAATGTAAGCCTTTCATGATTACAAAAAAAGAGATGACTATTAAAGATATGAATTTTCCATTAAAACTTAAAATATCGTACACACATTTTTCTACCTTTTAATCGTTCCGACTGGTTTTACAATATTTTTAAGTTTGTCCTCAAATTTACAGAATTTTTATAAGTAATAAATTATTTGAGATTTTCGCGTTTATCAAATTCTTCTTTTAAAGCCGCTAATTTCTTTTGCTTCTGTTTCCTTTTTGTTAAATCTTGTTGCTTGAGTTTTTCTTCCTGATTTCTTATAGAATTTTCACCGTTAATTAAATCGTCTAATTTTTTTAACATATTCTTCCTGGCTATTTCCCTGTTTCTGGGTAAGCTTCTGGTTTCATGACATTTTACAATTAGGCCAGTAGGTATGTGCTTCAAAGTGACAGCATTGTTCGTTTTATTGGTTGCTTGACCTCCAGGTCCAGATCCTCTTACAAATTGTTCTTCGAGATCATTTTCGTTTAGTTCTGGCACATTCGAGTAATCTAAGAAGCGTTTATAGGATTTATGTCGAATTTGATTGCTAAAGTTTAAAATCCCGATTAACTCCTTATTGTTTATACCATATACGAAGTGGATTTTTCTGTGAGTCAACGTGAATGCGTAAACAATCAAATTACGAATAAAACAATGATTGTGTAATAAAAACTTAAACATTTCTACTACTATACAATGAAATATTTGGTTCCTTAATAATGAATACCTTATAGGACTCGTTGTTTAATTAGAAGTTCTCGCCCTTTCTGAAAATAAAATTTTCTGAATTCGAAGCTTTTGGGGTTTAGGTTATACGAAATACAGAAGTCATTAAATAAAAGTGAAACAACCAATGGCTCAATATAAGTATGTACGTAAACGATTTATAATATCAACTTTTATTAGGGATCATATTAACAAAAATGATTAAAGTTAATTTTTACCTGCAAGTGAAAATCTATCTCTTCTTTATCAGTCAGTTGTTTATTTTCTTTAAAACTTTTACGAATTCTATGTCGAAAATATTGCTTATCCGTATACTTCAAATTTACACCATATCGCAATAAGTCTCTATACAATTTTAGAACTATTTGTTTCATTTTGTGTAATTATTTATTCCAATTACTACATGTATTTAGTGTTATCCAATTGTTAGTAGTGAGCTTTTTGAGAGGTTAGTTCTAGTCTCGCATTGCTACATACAAACACAAATCTAGTACCATGTATTTATACATACGTGTATTGTATATACATGCATATATATACTAATGCCTACATACATTCTGATGTCTATATACATGGTCATTTGTTCTTTAAGTATATATATATGCATAAAAAAATAGTTTCAATTAATTGTTGATATATAAAGTAATAGTTTATTAAAAAAATTTGTACTACAAGCGAAAATGGTTTTAAAAATATTTTGTTTCATAAATATGATCNCTTTCTGAAAATAAAATTTTCTGAATTCGAAGCTTTTGGGGTTTAGGTTATACGAAATACAGAAGTCATTAAATAAAAGTGAAACAACCAATGGCTCAATATAAGTATGTACGTAAACGATTTATAATATCAACTTTTATTAGGGATCATATTAACAAAAATGATTAAAGTTAATTTTTACCTGCAAGTGAAAATCTATCTCTTCTTTATCAGTCAGTTGTTTATTTTCTTTAAAACTTTTACGAATTCTATGTCGAAAATATTGCTTATCCGTATACTTCAAATTTACACCATATCGCAATAAGTCTCTATACAATTTTAGAACTATTTGTTTCATTTTGTGTAATTATTTATTCCAATTACTACATGTATTCATTGTTATCCAATTGTTAGTAGTGAGCTTTTTGAGAGGTTAGTTCTAGTCTCGCATTGCTACATACAAACACAAATCTAGTACCATGTATTTATACATACGTGTATTGTATATACATGCATATATATACTAATGCCTACATACATTCTGATGTCTATATACATGGTCATTTGTTCTTTAAGTATATATATATGCATAAAAAAATAGTTTCAATTAATTGTTGATATATAAAGTAATAGTTTATTAAAAAAATTTGTACTACAAGCGAAAATGGTTTTAAAAATATTTTGTTTCATAAATATGATC